TCTTTTCTTAGAGGACAGTTCTTTCCCACCTTGAGTGTATAACTCACCATCACTTGCAATAGCTGCTTGAATCCCTGACACTGGAATCAATACAGCAGAGCTGGCAGAGGCTGAGAGTGAGGAAAGGAGGTGGGAAAACAAATGTGAAGATGTTGTAACCTTTTAGTCCTTTGCTGTCAGCTCTGCACACCAGGATGCCTGACTGGACTCACCTTGTACTAACACAGTGACTGTGCAGGGAGCTGTGGTGACTCAGGTCTGCTCTGTGCATCCTCCAAACCAACAACAGGGAACTAAGGCAATGCCCTCCATGAAATGAAGCAGCACAGGGATATCTCACAACACTGCTCTCTGCACCGTGTCTCTTCTAATCAGCCTTCTGGACTGAAAACAGAGGCCTGTGCTGTACACAGGGCCCAGCCTGTAGCATGCACAGTGCACATGTCCTATTGGATTACAGGGCAGAGTGCACTCACATGCTCCGCTTGTCAGAGCCCAGCGTGCCTCTGCAAGAAGGAAATAAAGGAGGGGATGGATAAAAGCAACCTGAGCAGCACAGGGCAACCCGAGCCCTGTCAGAAGGCAGGATGGGGGACACCACCACAAACACAGGGGCAGCAGGGAAACATACCTGGCAGGCACACTGTAAGCCTAAAATGGAATCTCACTCCACGAAGAAAATCAATGTGAATCTTCACAGACTTTAATATTATTCAAAAATGTGAGACTAGCTTATCACCTAGAAGCTCATTGTATTGACAAGTGGAACAGATAATAGTTAGGTCCCCATTTGGATACTAAAACACAGAGCAATATGGCAAAGATCAATGCAATGCAGTCCTCTCATTGAGAAAATGCTTCTATCTGCATTAGCTTCAAAGCTGCCCCCAGTACCTTTGATTGTGGTCCAAGAGAAAAAATGTCTCTTAGAAGTCCATACTGGGATTCACACTTTTTTTTTCTCCACAGGCAACTAATAGTTTGCAGTTCTTAGAAAAAGAAAAAAAAAAAAACCAAAAAAAAAGGGGACTCAAAAATGTGATCACAGGTGAAGCAGAGGAGTTAATAGCGAAAGGGAGAGAGCAGCAGAACAGGCGTCTGTTTCAGAGGGCAGAAGTTTATCATCCAGGACAGGATTTCCACTGGGTTTATCATTGTTTTCTGTGTCTAGAATGAAGGTCATTAAAGATGTTTCCACTCTGAATTAGCAATGAGTTCCCACTTAATCTATAGTGTTGCAGCACTCCTATGTGACTTGGCTCCAAGAACCTCAGTGAAACTCTTTCTCCCATCTCACAATTTTTCCCTCATTCCCCCCATTCCCCTCTCCTCAGTTTATTCTCCTACCAGATCTTTTCAAAGAGCCCTCCCTGCTTCCTCGACCATGTCACACATCACAGTTTGGGACACCACTACAGAAATTATTATAGGAAGTAGCTCTGTTCCACAATTCCCTAGCTGCTGTCATTTATTAGCACGTATCCCCAAACCCCCGATACCTGGAGCCTGAGGAGCTACTAATACTGGAGCAGTTTTCGGAGGTAGCAAAGACAGAGCCCTTCCAGGAGCACCGGGGAGGCTCTGGACGCTCTGCTGAAGCTTTCGAGGGACAGGTACTCGCCTCCTCCGGACTTCCCGCGGCTCCCATCACACGGAGATCTCCCTCATTTAGACATTTTAGGCACAAGTCAAGGAGGACTTGGCCGGGGGGGGTCAGTGTAACGCAGGGACTGAAGGCGAAGCATCCGACCTTCGGCAGACCCCGCGCTCCCGCCGCCCCCTCAGCCGCCCCCTCA